AATATACAATATTTGATACCGTCCCATCTCAAAGAACATTTTGAGTTCTTACAATATTCACATTGCAGGCTCCTGAGATAGCGTCGGGGTACCAGGGATTTCCTTACTAGGGTACACCTGGTTCCCTGGCTACTGGTACCTGTGCGTGATATCCGAGGGGATTTCCGCACAGGAAAAAAAAAGGCTCCTGAGATCATCAGAGAATTTGAAGTTGAAAATGTACAAGCATACCACACAATTTATTGACAAATCGTTCTCGGTGCAGGCAGTTAGACTGTTATACAACTTACCCGAGGCAATCCGAAAAGCTAAATCGTTGCAATTTTTAAAAAAACAAGTCGAAATTACTACTTGACATTGTAAGGGCTGTTGAAGGGATATTGATTGTTTGTTAATACTTGGAACGTTACAGTTTAAAAATTATTTGTGTATTAACCTTTATAACTTTTGTATGTAATTATTATTTATATGGATTATATGTGTCAGCAGTCATTGTAAGCGTATTTAGTATGCCTATTTTTATATATATGAATTCTCTAAATATAATATATATATAATGCATAAAGTACACTATAGACTACCCTAAATGAGATTAAACAATATCCGTGTAAAGGATGTCTGTAAGAGATCGTCGTGAGCGATAAGGCGATAAGACCGCCTATTGTAATACCAAAATGTAGATGTCCATCCATATCTGTACAATATATACTGTAGCGGTGTACAATAAAGATGTATAAATAATATAAATAAATAATTGAATTGTCAAGTTTAACGCTATAGGAAAATGAGAGAACCAAAAAATAAGTAATAAATTATAGAATATGTAAAGCATTACATGTCATAACACTGTACTGAAGACGTGGAAGGTATGAGGGTAGTGCAATAATTTAAATGCCTACCTCGCTACCGAGTATTATAAGTTTGATATGAAATGTGTAATTGTAGTTCAGGGCTCAAATGATTTTTGCTCCTTTTTCAAGGAACTTTGTTCGGCACTTGTATGCAGAACACGTGAAGTGCTGTTCTTTAATTTCTAAATAAGATAGAGAGTGGGTAGTCACCCCTTAATATTGATGTTCTTTTTCCATTCCTTAATTTACCGTTGAAGAATTTTTCTTTTACTGTCAGTATTTATGCCAAAACAAATGAAATTATACATAAACCAAACATATACCAAACATATACATAAAAGAAATTTAGAAGAAGTTTCTCAAATATATCTAAGAAGTTCAAACATATATCGAGGAGAAAGAGTGGATAAGTGACGCGCCTCCTATCCGGGAGCCGGACGTTCTTACCGTGTCCGGATGCAATGAAACAATGTACTGGTAAAGCGCACTGTATTTGTGTTAGTCCGGACTCCGGACATAGTTTATCCAAGCCCCTCTAACAACTTGCAGTATTCTTTTCAGTGATTTTAAACGTTCGTAGTCTGAATAAAATCCTGTTGCCATTTTGTTTTTATAATTGTTGTTTAACTGTGAGCAGACTAGTTTAATTAGAGAAAATACCCTTTTAAAAAGAAAAGGAATGCTCCATTTAATGCGAATTGTTTAGACTAAAAATAAATGTTAGTTAAGATTGCGCTTGTTACATGCTCCTCCATCACTCATTAGGTTACTGTTTACTACCTTTATAGCCATATCCTCTTTTACACAGTTCATACATCTTTTTTTATGTCGTCCTCTATTCTTATATCCATTAATTTCTTCCATACATAAAACTTTATTCACCACATTTTTATTACCGTTTTTATGCATTTACTTTGAACGTTTTGAGTAAGCGGGCATCCCTCTGTAACCCCTGATTCACGCAATTCCCTTACATATATCCTCTATACCCTTTATATAGATAACACAAGCCAAATTTTCTGCAAGTTAGCCCCTAAAACGGTGTTAAAAAACCTCAGAATCTAGATTCATATCGGTTCATCAGAAAATTTTCAGGAAGAAGAGATCCTCAAAATGTTCAGATGAACCTAACCACCAAAGGATACATCATGAATACATTGAAAAACTATTTATCTACAGAAAATACAAATCCTATAATAACCTTAATCTTCTGCCTATGTGATCGAACTGATAATATTGCTGGTAGTTTCAATAATATTCAAATTTAAATCCACTCGATTGACGGAAGCCAAGCAGACGCGAAACAATAACAGAGATAAATCTTCTCCTTAGAATATACCACGAGCCTAAAAATACAGTGTTGAAATATGAGGAAATTGAAACGGTGCCTCGCTATATTTACCTTGGAGAAGTCCGCACAACTTTATTGATACTTTTCACTTATCTTAAGCCGTCTCCGTTTTTGGAGAATCGTTAGAAGCGTTTGATACTGTTGTATTGAACCTCAATAGACTCAAGAGAGTTATTTAACTTAAAACTGGTGTTGTATTTGATAAATGTTTATATTACTTCTATGTTATCGCTTATATAGAGTAAAATTAATCGAAGTTTGGCCATATATGAAACAAATGACAGATTTTTAATAAAAATCTAAAATTGGCACAATCGCTGCGACAGCTCGTGTCCGTCCCGACGGTCAGACGTGAATAGACGTATTTTTTTTTTGCTTCGCGGTCAAAAAGACCAGTCGTCGTCGTCTGCCCAGTACCTTACAAAATTTGTAGTTATTTTGAAGTATTACATTAAAATGTTTTTTTGGGCTGAAAAAACTGTTATTTTTAAGTAGAAATTAAAACTATCATGAACGAGTGAGAAATAATTTGTTATTTCCTTCCATAATACATAAATGCTATGGCCGTGTCCGTGGTCACAGGCTGACTATCAGTCAACAGCTGAAAGCAGTCAGTCTATAATTATGACCAGTCACGTGGTTGAAACTTCATGCAATAGTATGACATGTAATATCTATTACGTGACCGATTTATTAACAATAATAGTAATATCTCCACACATGTCAAACACGGTCGTCTGATTACAAACTAGGCAAAGCCTGTGCTACGGTAACCAGACTGCTGATAAACATACATATATATTTCTAAATACATACAGAAAAAAAACACAGAAAAAATAATCGTGTTCACCACTTAACTATTTGTTCTTTGTGGGAATGGAACCCACGACCTCCGGATATTGAAATAATATAAATATATTTTTTTATACATACATATATATATATATATATATATATATATATATATATATATATATATATCTCACGGTCTCTATCGAGAATTTATAACTCAATAGAAATAATATCTATTTTTTTATGTACATATCTTAAACCTTTTTGGATATTATCTCGTCTTTCAGACTAACCACTTTGAAATGACCCTTGTACTAATAATAACTCTTTTGCTCAGTTAAGCGCGATAAGCACTCGCCTCCTTTCACCGAAGTCAAGTACGGCCAGGCTCAACTTATTCAGAAATATAAAGTATATTTGCTTGAAAAACTCTAATATGAAACGATAGTTATACTGTACAATGTTTTATGTAAAATGTTTGACATAAATTCTGAATGTACCTTTTTGAAAATGTGCAAGAATTTGCAGTCTTAATGATGTCCAATTTAAACATTTTGCTTTGATTTTTTCCAAGAACTACACATTTTTACATGAAAATTAGTCTGTATTTCTGTCTGTATGTCAAATTTGTGTCAGTGCAAATATGTTTATAAAATGTGTGTCTGTCCGCGTGACGGATAAATAATACAGAGTGCCACTATCCCTATTCATACCGTGGGTGTCGTAAGGGGTCGGCCCTTCTGCCGTCTCATTGATTATAATTTAGAAACACTATTTTTTAGCGATACCAAACCGCATTGTGAAATTAATTCATTAGATTACTATTAATAGAATACTAAATAATTTAAATAATTTGAATTTGTTTTAGATATATAAGTTTTGGGCTCAGTATAAGTATAGATCTTAAAATATTTTTATTCAATTGTTTGTGACGAAGTCAGTTTTAAATATTTTGGGGAGTAAATGGATTACAAATAACACTGAGAAATATTTAGGCTATTTAGCCTATTTACTAGATAAGATAGGTTAGTGACGGGAGTAAGTTATATGTTCATATTTCCTTGAAGTAAATTAAATTTTACAAATTGAATTTTAAAACAATGAAAGATAAATGCAATACACTTTATCGTTACAGTTTTGCTGACAACAGGAAGAACATTACCCAATATTTGTAATGTTGCTAATAATGAAAAAAAAGGCTATCTTTTTTACGTGTGAAAACCCCCTTGGGCCGTCACTCCACCAAGTTTGCGACGTGTGGTGTGTCGGCCTTGAACCGACTAAAACCACGCGGTGTGCCATTCTGCGCCTTAAATAGGAGGGATCCGTACCGTTTTTAAGACATCCGGATTCCAATTTATGGCTGCCATTGCCGTAGCATGGGCTCTAAAATAATGTTTTATATCAATTTATATTTTTTACATTGAACAAATACATACGCTTATAGTAAATTTCCTATAAGCGATTACTACTATGTATTTTACACACATTTCTTTTTAAACACATACGATAGGCCTCATTACGCTTATCGTATGTGTCTAGTGAAGCTACACTAGGCTCAGTTTTGTGGTGACACTCATACGAAGTCACACCGGACTACAGAGTAACTGAGTAACTGTGTGCTCCTGCGGGGCATGATCACCTCGAATGGTTGTAGGATCCTCCCTTATGTTGGAGGAACGTAACACTCGTTCCTCCACAGTCCTGTTTAGAGTCAGATACTTGCGATATAATGAAAAATCGGCTAAAACTCTTTGCACTGTTACACCTGTTATGTTAAATAATTATTCAGCAATATGTCTCTTTTCTACTTCATCGCTAATTCTTTCCTAGTTCTTTTATTTTCCTGCTATTCTATATATTCATATTACGATTTTTATAGTTTTTAAAAGGCGACTTACATGACCGTTTTTGAATCACCTTAGAGTTTAATTACCTTCTGATTAATTGTTTATAATGTGCATTCTATATCTATTGATTAATGGACAACTTTGTCCACAGTTCCTATGACGCAAGTGGTGGCAGTAGCAGGCGAGCCGGTGTACCTGCCTTGTGACATCGCAACGCAGGATGAAGAAGATGCTGTCCTACTTGTGTTGTGGTACAGAGAAGATCTGGGTACACCTATCTATAGGTAAGTGTCATCACAATACCAACATTAATTTAAAAAAATAAGTTGGCCAAGTATTTAAGTATTGGTTTTTTTGAATTTCTTTTCTTTTCTTCTTCTAAGTATCTCATTTAATGCTCATTTAATTGCTTGAAAATAGTTGTAAGATTAATCAAAATTCGTATTTAATATAAAAGTTTAATTGTCCTTAATGAAGCAATACTCCGTGTGGTGACGGATTAAGAATACGGAGTGTCACCCCTATTCATCCCGTGGGTATCGTAAGAGCCAACTAAGGGAGCAAACTCTGCGGGACAATAACACTACAAAGAAATGGAAAACTTGAAACAAACCCTATACCAACATGTGTGGCCAGTGTGGTATAGTAGGCATGATGATAGTCAGCCAATTCCATCTTCAATCAAAAATAACATAAAATTATTCAATTTTTTTTTCAGTTCATAAAACAAATCGTAAAGTATATTTTTGTAAAGAAGCTAGTGATGTGTGAATACAAAGAAAAGTACCATCAACCAAATAATAATGGTGAAGATGGTAATTCCTCACAGACCACACTCCCACAGTTGATTTTGGAAGTCACATAATTATAACAATAACCTATACTGACTTACATTCATCCATAATAATATTATAAATGCTTTTGTCTGTTATCTCTTCACTCCTTAACCGCTGAACTGATTTAAATATAGTTTGGTATACCAATAGTTCGAGCCCCGGAAAATTACATAGACTAGTTTTATTTCAGAAATCGTCCTTTAAGACGATGAAAAGGGGTGTGTAAAATTGTATGAGGAATCAAAAACCGCTCAACCAATTTAGATGAAATTTGGCATGGAGATAATTTCATTCTTGAGGAAGGACACAGACTACTTTTTACCGCGATAACCAACATATACACAGGCGAAGCCACGGGCTAAATCATGCACTAAATAAATATAAATTGTCTTTATGTTAAGTAAACTTTACAAAGTTCATTGTTAAATTAAACAAATCAGTATTAGACAGAAAAAGTAGTCTCGTTTCAGTAGCTCAGGCTTTATTTTATAATACATACTAATCGCTTTATCTCACCCCCTTTTGTACTTTTTATCGGTTTATTTGACGAAACAATAACATTTCAAAGGAAACTTTAGTACCTACAAGTGCCTAATCACAAATTTCATTGAACAAAGAGCTTTGAGAGAGTATTTCAATCCCTTCGTCTTTTTTATTTCCACTTCTCAACAATACTGCACTGTATTGACTTCATCGCTACAAAAAGCATCAAACATTTTTGCCTTTGACTTGCATAAGCTTGTCGAAGAGAACGTTTCGATACAAGTTCCATCCAACTCTCTAAAATCACTGAGCATCTTTCAATATGACATGCAAGATCGACTTAGCTTGGTCGATGCTCTTTGCGTTGAAAGTAAATTTCAAAGACTGTTTTGGTGAGGTGCCTTAAAAGGGTCGTGACTCAAGCACGCTTCGTTGAACCCTATTTAGAGATTAAAGGTACCTTTTGGTAAAAGGAAAAGACATAGTTTCGGTAATACTATACCATCGTAGAGAAATATCGTTTGCTTTGAAATTGATAAAATAAACGTGAAAGGTGAATTTGCTGGAAAATGATTATACTTATTTTTTGTTACATAATAATATTGTAGCTGCGTTTGGTTTTTAAAAAGGTAATAAAATTTAGATGTGAATGTCAGTTTTTATTTTGATACTAGGTGTTTCTTAAACCGGGCACGGGCCAGGCAGCGCAGGCGACTCAGGCGCCGGAGGTCGCAGAACGACCTCCGTCCTCCATAAGCGCAGGCCTGGGGGTGACAGGTGAGGCCATCTGTCACCCTAGCAGAAACAGGCCGGGGTGGCGGCGAGCGCGTTGCGAAGCGCGCTCGCTTCCAGGGAGCACAGGGAACATGGGGTTCCCACACGGGGGGGGGGGGTCGTCTACTCGTCTGTAGATGACCCGAGGTATGTTGGGGCACCAGGGACTTCCTTTCTAGGGTATACCTGGTTCCCCGGCTATTAGTACCCGGCGAAGGCGTGCGGTTTTAGTCGGTTCGAGTCCGACATGCCACCGACAGGTGGTATCCGAGGGGAATTCCGCACGGAAAAAAAAAAAAAAAAGGTGTTTCTTAAAGCCTTTAATGTTGGGTAATTTATTGACTCGAATGTTAGAGACTTTTCTTATAAGATTGCATGCATATTATGCTATGCATATGAGTCAAATTTTACTACATTAACTCAAATTCCAAACATTTAGCGCATCTGCTCTACCCACATAACCTAGATAACCCACATTGTCAAACTTCTCACTGCAGAATCGATATAAGTCTCTCCACCTCGGCAAGACACAGCAGAATACAGACCGCCCTCATTTTAATAAAGGAAAATAGAAATCTAAGAATTCCTTCAGATAACGGACTCTGCTTAAATAAACCGTTTTAAAAACTTAACAGGTACAAAATAATAAAGTAACAGAGTAATATATAAAATGCTGCTCTAACAAGAACTCGAGATAAAAGAATTTAAAACAAATATCGCATTTTTAAACTTTGCTTAGATAGCGAGAATGTTATAAGAGATTTTTGAAACATTTATGCACTTCGTGAGAAAAAACTAGTAGAATTTATTCTAATGTTAAAGTTGCACTCTCATTAATATGACATGATGTTGTGTGTATTTACGAAGTTGTTTATTTAATGTGTAAATCTTTTTAGACATGACATTACGCAGTAAAAATTATGTTAATTTAGTTTTTTAACTAGGAATCAAATCTGTTATTCTAACATAATTTGATTACAGATTTCATTTTTGTACTTACATGAGAACTACGTCTCATATCTACACTAAAAAAATAATTATAAATGTCTTCTACTTATTCCGTTCTTTTCAAAATACTTTACTTTATAATACCTTTTTCATCACAAATAAAAAAGAAGTAATTTATTCTCTGTAAATAGAATTAAACAAACATTTTATTCCATCTAATTTATGTTTATTATAACCTTGTTTACCTGGAGCACACCTCAGCTATTCGTCTTCTTCGCCACAAAAAAGGGAATGTACACAACTAAGGCTCCTTGCTGTCCTTATGACGTTCGTACGTTAGTCATTAATCACGATAAGAAACTGTGTTGGACCCAACATACTGTCTTGACTCACGCCGGAACGTGTCACATATGGCTCGGAGCGAGTACACACAAAACTTGCACTATTATTCTACTCGTATTTATAAAATAATAACGTGAACATTTTCAGAGAATGAGAACGACAGGTTGTCAGGTTTCAAATGCTTTATTATAAATTTAAAAAGTTGAAAGTTCCAAACCAAATTAGTGATGTAAGAATGTTAGCTTTCTGTGCATCTTTTACACATTAACTTCAATTATTTCAAATTGTAAATATTAATATGTAGTTACTTTGTAGAAAAATATAAAATTTACACAAAAATACCTCTGTGTAGGAATTGTTATCGAAGATAAAAGCGCATTCATCACTGTTGTTCCTTCTCTATTAAGTATTATTTTAAATTTTTTAGTTGAGGAGTTATTAAGCGTTGCTAAAGTCCTTTTTATCAAAACGCTCTGATTATTCTGCTAACAATATCTGCTCGAAATATTCATTTTTAATTTTGATCTTCTATAGAATGGAGCTATCTGATATTTGTGTTGCCGAGACTGTAACCGACTTTGGTACTTCATCTAAAAAAGAAGATCAAACACTTCTCGTTTTTTGTATGCCAAATTAGAAATAATGTTTTACAGTTACTTTAAAAAGTATATTTTCTATACAACAAACAATACTACCAGTATTTTTCAATTGCTGAATCTCACAGCTATTAGAGTAACTTTTTGAAATCTGACAACTATAGTCAAATAGATATTTATAGGTTTCCGTAATACGAGTCTCATAGTTTCAAGTTCTTGCCGGATAAGCTTCTTCCATGAACTTCAACATTTTGAACAAAAACTACTTGGAAATTGGCAAGGGCTTCGGTTTAATCAGTTAATTTGATTTTCAGTAATTAGGAAATGTATTATTCTGACGTGGCTCAAAATTCTTGCATTTAATTTATACTCGTAGGCTACTCCTATATCCAGCACAAATTTAAAAAATAAGAACAATAGAAAACTTAAAATGGTAAATTGAAAAGAGAGGTCCAATCGCGTAAGTTTATTAAGTAGCTAACACAGTTAACAATGAAGACGCTGAAGTGTCAGTACAGTGACGACTGGTGAAAAATAATTCCAATTTTTTACCTGCTGAGTATTTGTAAAATTGGAGCACGTCCTAAATGTACTGTTAAGCACAGAATGGTACTTACCATTCTGTTAAGGATGGTTGTTTTTGTTTTCTTGCTCTATAATTTGTATCCGTCTGAAAAGTATTTCTGGATCGCTGCCAAAAAGTAAAGGCTTCTTCTAATTGGACGACAATTAGGTTATTGACAATTTTGTGAGATGTTTAATGGGTTATAAAAGGTCAAATTAGCATAGTTTCATGCTGTATTTATCTTTATAAATCATTGTTTTGTGTCTCACTGAACATCACCTACAATTCTGAACCGATTTTCATTATTTTTTTTTTAATTTGAATAAATCTTAGATTTTAGACTCAGTAGGTGGCACAAAAACCGTGTTCAACTTTTTTTATTTTTTCACCATAATTTTATTGTTTCTTTGTTATTTCATTTTCAATCGACTTATGGTGTGGTAGTTAACTTCTCACGTAACGATACCACGAATCGCTAGCTTCTTAAACTATTCTCTATTTGATTACATTAGATAAGTTTATCTGGCTATCACCTTCAAAGTCGTTGTATCGATAATAGTAGGAGATTATAATGTCGTCACTTGGTGCGTCTTGTGTGGATTTATAAGTTGGACATCGATTCCTTAAAGTATTTCTATTTATAATAAGTATGTATTAATAAAAAAAGAATATTTGGATTTATATCAGTTGTCTAGTACCCATAGTACAAGCTCTGCTTAGTTTGCGACTAGATAGCGTTGTGTGAATGTGGTACAATATTATTATTATTTATCCGTGTTAAAATTCTCCCTTGTAGAAATAAACTTTAGAAGCTTATCAGTTCACAGCCAAACCATGGACATGGTATCTATGTAGTTTGTATTACGGTCACAAGTATTTTATATCCATAACAATCATGAACTCTACATGATTCTAATTTTAAAAACATCTCATTTAAATGAAAACTAGTAACTAATATCCCCCTGGTGATGAATACGGTATGTCGTCACTCCTATTTATCCAATGGGTGTCTTAAGAGCCGACTAAGGGAGCAAACTACGCAGAACAACAGCACTGCAAAGATAAGGAAAACTTGAAACAAACCCTATAGTAACCCGTTTGGCTAGCGTGGTATAGTATATATAGGCAGTAGGCCAAAACTTCTATTCTATGAGGCCTATGTCCAGCAGTGAACTTTTATAGGCTGATAGTGAAGGGGTATTGCCGTAGCTAATTTTTAATCTTCTTTCAGTGTTGACGCTCGTGAACGAGACTTCGGTGTAGCCGAACGGTGGTCAGACGAGAGCGTCTTCGCATCAAGAGCATATTTCCTGCCTGAAAGAAGACCAGCAGAACTAGGAGTTGACAGAGTAAAGGCCTCAGACCAAGGCGTATACAGATGTAGAGTGGACTTCAAGCAAGCACAAACGAGAAACTCTAGAGTCAACTTAACTGTTGTTGGTAAGTTTGTGTTTTATACTTAGAATATCAAAAAAATTGTTCTGGTTATGTTTTTCATCTAAAGTTAATCGATGGTTCTTTAAAAATAAATTAATACACAAAAAACAACACGATAATATCTTAAATTAGAGAAATAGCTACTTAATGTATATACTAGGAAAGTCTACTTTTGAGATAGTCCTGTGACAGTGACAAGTATCTTAATCCGTATTTATCATAGTAATGTCCGTGTGGTGACGGATTAAGAATACGGAGTGTCACCACCCCTATTCATCTCGTGGGTGTCGTAAGAGCCGAATAAGGAAGTAAACTACCCAGGACAACATCACTGCAAAGAGAAGGAAAACTTGACACAAACCCTATACCAAATCGTCTGGCCAGCGTGGTATAGTAGGCCAAAACCTCCTTTCTAAGCAGAGGCCTATGTCCAGCACTTCTTTTTGCACTTCTTTCACATGCGTAATTCGGTAAGTTAAAATTTTACTACCGAATTTCACATATTGGGTAAATTTTGCCTAAAAATATGTTTATAGAATACTTCATATATTAATACATAGATATCCATAAGAATAAACTTTCCTTTATTCATACGAAATTCTGTGTCGTAGTGTACCTATATCTTCTTAATATGCTAATGGATTCTGTTTCTTCACTTTCATTCCCGTACTATTTACCTTTCCTCTTAATAAGATAAGTAATAAATAAATGTGGATAAAGAGAACATTTACCCGCCCTCTGGGAATTTCAAAACACACAAATGTATTTTACACATATTCGATGGACAACTTTGAATGTGGACCGTAATGTTTTATTCTTAGAACTCTAAATGGAATATTTGCTATCAGTAAAACTATAAGAAAATTACGTTAAGTAATATTTCTATAGATATTCTCAATAAAGTTATGGAATAACTGTAATATTGTATATACGAGTATCTTCGTGTACTAAAAGAACGCTCTCGTCGTTACATTAGTGCTAATTCTGTTTTTTGAAAACTCTCTAAACTAAACTAAAAATCACAAAAAATTAGTTTAGTTCGATCAAATTGGAAACGTTATAATTACAAATATACCTACATAATTAGAATCTTAGAAAAAACAATTTATTTTGTTTTATGTTTCATTCTGAATTAAATGCCGTAGAACTAGTAAGACATTTTTAATTCTCACTAGTTCGATCGTCAAACTAATGAGAAAAAAATTATCACTTGTTCGACGATCGAACTGATGGATCGAACTAATGAGAACAAATGATGTATCTACAAACTACTACTAATAAATATGACCAGGCATCATCATCAACAGCCTTTACTAGTCCACTGCTGGACAAAGGCCTCTCTTTGGAAAGGAGGTTTTGGCCTACTATACCACGCTGGCCAAACGGGTTGGTATAGGGTTCTGTTGTCCTGCGCAGTTTGCGCCCTTAGTCGCCTCTTACGATACCCACGGGATGAATAGGGGTGGTGATACTCCGTATTCTTAATCCGTCACCACACGGACTGACCAGTGCCATATATTTACTCTTGTTATTATTCAAATTAACTTTTTCCTGTCCTTCGCCCTTCACCCTAGGAGGGGGAGGGCAAAGGGATCTGTCAGACTTTAAAAACCGTACCTTTGTTCCTCTGCTTGCTAATGGCAGGAGGAGCGAGAATCTCAATTACATTCTGCCGCCACTTTCAAATTAACTTAAAAACCATCAATTGAGCTAAATGATTATTTGGCCAAAGCCTACTATACCACAGTTAACATTACATATCATCATCACCACCCTAAGAAGTAGATAAAGGCGCATTCGACACCTCAATTTGCCGGATATAATCTTAGCCCCACTTTCATGATATATAACTTTTTTTATACTCGTAATCCCATTATTAGAATGTGTCATCTCTACACTGAATTGGACATCCTTGACATATTTAATTCCAAATCGAATTAATTTAAAAACAATGATACACATATTATGTCAACAACATTAGTCCAATTTGTTATACATTTCAAAGGAAAATTCATGGTTTCACTTTAACACGTTCGCGACATTTCAAATGGTATTTTTTTTATATTAATGTGACTTTTCGGCCCTGAATCTCTTCTATAGAACTTAGGATTCGAAATTAAATCTTATAAGGACTTTTTTTTTTCCTTGCCGAAATCCCCTCGGATACCACCTATCGGTGGCATGTCGGACTCGAACCGACTAAAACCGCACGCCGTCTCGGGTACTAATAGCCGGGGAACCAGGTATACCCTAGAAAGGAAGTCCCTGGTGCAAAATCTTACAAGGGCTAAAGTTTGAATCAAGCACCGTTTCCATTTTAAGATAAAAGTTACCATTATATAAAATAAACCATTAATTGTGGAATGCAAGTAAACATAGTTTAAAAAAAAATGGTTTAATAATATTATACATGATAATAATTCGTAACGTCACATTTAAACATATTGCAGTTTAGTAATCTTATTATTTCGTGTATATAGTATTAGTTTATAGAGTAAATTTATACTTCAGTGTTAGTTTTGCCTTTTTTATTTTATAATGTCATCCCTGTCATAAACACGATGCCACAAACATTACTCTAACGTCAGTGTCACAATTTTTCCTCGTTGTTAATATTTTCGCATTTAAATTCTCAATAACCACAAGTTCTGTCACAATATACGATAGTATTTCATATAATACTGAATGCAGGCTTAATAATGTAGTTTATACATATTTGACACAGTAAAAATCAAATGTGAAATGGATTTTTAAACTGAAATGGGCAATATTTTTTTTTGTTAATATTTAGATTTTAAGTTGCATGTATTCTCCTCTTGTATCAATCACATAATAATTTTGTGTACACATAGCTAAGATCGAAACTTATTTATAAAACTATGTTGTGTGTTATGTTCCATTTTGAGTGGTTAAATAAAACACCAGAATACAGGCTTATCGCAGTCGACCGGGCACACTTACTTCTTAATACACTGACTACTACACTTACTACTTATATTCAGGTAAATACTTGCCTATTGTAGATAAATTACACCTATTAGAATTGCAAATATGCCCAAAAACGATATTTCAATTAAAGTAGAATTCCACAGTATTTCGTAACTCGTTTTTATATCGCAGACTCCTCAAGAGAAATGCTCTCTGACACCAGATAAGATTATTTTGTAGGTAGTTTTGTACGAAGTAGGACTCTTGGACCGAACACAAAGGAAACATTACCGCTATACACTTGGGGCTCTACTGAATATAAATACAGTGTACAAATTGTTATTATTGAAACGTCTCTTTGAGTTTGGTTCGGGTTTTCTCTAATTGTTTCTGTTTAAATTTGTTTTTATAATAAAATAATGTAATGATTTTATATTGAATCTCTTTAAAATTATTTAGTTTTTGTGGTGAGCGAGTGATATATATGGTTTTATTTATTCATTTCGAATTTGCGAATATGGGACATTTTAGATAAATATAAGTATTATTCTCCAAAAAACAAAATTGAATAATACAATTTCAATAATATTAAAATGTATTATTCTGAAAAATATATATATCATTGTCTTATTATTCAAGTTAATATAAGTTATTGTTCTTAAAAATAATGGTTCGTATAAGTCTCGTGCGTAGCTTATTTAAATTCAAGTAATAAGATTGTAAGTTGTTCATCATGATAATGATAATGAATATAGTTGTAATACCGGTGTTATTAAAAGATTTCTTTTAACAAAACTATAAATTTTAAACAAAAAAACTTGTACCAAAAATGTTCCTTCGTAAGAGCTCTAAGATTATGTTGTGAGCATATTATTATTTAGGAAATAACACTAATGTGTTAATAGCATAAATGTTTCATCAGTTTACATTCATTGAGTGTTTAAATGTATGTAAATAATAAAATAGTTGGAGCTTTAATCAGGTTTCTTGAGATACTTATCGATTGTAAACAAACTTATATAGGTTAGTTAGTTATATTAGTTTAATCCAACTTCATCGCAAACCACTCATATTGTTTCGCATAAGTACGTGAGTCGAGTGCCTCTTATAAGACTATTTTGTTGTATTTTTAAACTTCTTTGTTTAAATTTTAACTAAATAAATCTTTATGGAAAAAACGTTTAACTGACTATAAACAATACTAACAAAGACCAACTAAACGCACTGCTCCAATGAGACAGTAAGGTTTTGTAAGTAAACAAAAATTTCATCGATGTATAATATTTTTTAGATTTATGTTGATTTTTCAAAAACCGCTTTACCGACTTCTATAAAATTTAAATTGGACCACCTGGAAAGTATTCCATTTAAAACGAAAAAAGAATTTTTAAAATCGGTTCAGGCGTCTTTGAGTAATCGACAAATATACATTAAACAAAAATCGACGAATTGAAAACCTCCTTCTTTTTTGAAGTCGGTTTAAAATAGACGTCGAAAGGAAGAGTTATCATTCGCCGAATTATATCTCCAGTTTTTTTTAAATGATATGAAGGGCAAATCGAGTAGATGGATCACCTGATCGACACCTGCAAATTAAAGAAAGACAAGTGCGTTGCTGTTCGTTGAGTGCTTGCCTTTTCAGAAATAGGAGGAGTTTCGGTATTTTTATTTTTTCTTGTGGATCCCCTTCGAGCCATCACCCCACCGGGGTTTGCGTCGGAATTGGACCGCCACACAAAAACCAACCACACGGTGTGCTACTCTGCGACTGTAATAGGAGGGCTCCGCCACCACCTTCGGGTATCTTCTTTATTCCTGAATCCGGCACACGCGGACATCGTCGCTCAACAAGGGAATTGCCTAACACCAGTTTTCTATGACTCTCCCACAATAAATCCAAACTAACTACGAAGTGTATACGAATTAACTGTCTCGGTGGTGCAATGATAGCGTCTGTGACAGCTTTTCTGAGGTCTCGGGTTCGATTCCGGGTCGTATCAAATGTTTGTATGATCTGCAAATATTTGTTTCAGAGTTTGAAAGTATTCTATCAGTCAATCTACTTTTCATAGTAC